ATCTAGCAGTGTCTGGAACACTTGCTGTTTCAGTAACTGAGTCCCTCTTTCTGTATTCTCTGTATCAATACATGAGTAAATTTAAGATAGACCTCTGTTGTGTATCTTGAACCAGGAAAGACAAATGGATTGAAAATATACTTACATTTAGTTTTTCAAGTGGCTGTCCTAAAGAGTAAATAACATAAGACTGAAGGTGATCTGTGTATTTTTGTTTGGCTTCTTTTTTTTCAGCTTCTAGACATGAAATTTTCAAACGAGAGAGAGTTGCAAAAATATGATGAAAATTTTCCATCATAACGACATCCCTGGGGGTCTTCTGGCTTTCATTTGCTACTTTCTCCACTAAAATCAAAACAGAAAAACATATAACAGCATTTCTGATATAAGCATAACTATATTTAGATATAAAATATTTATACGATTGATCTCTTTTTCATTTATAAGTTTAAGAATTAAGCATATTTCTCGGCATTGGTTAAAATATACTACACTGGAGAATTCTTCACATCCACCTAAGCCTAAGAAGGAATCACCCTAAAACAGTCTCATTTTTAAGTGGAACTTTAGTATATATTAATGAAGGTGGCATTTCAAATCAGTGGGGGAAAGGATATATTGCTCAAATGTATCAGGACAACTTGCTGGCCCTTTTGAATACACCAAATTTTCAATCTTTTTTTACATCTTTTAGCAAACCAAATTCTAAATTGCTTAAGCAAACTATAATAAACAATAATAAACAAACAAAACAACAGAAAAAGCTAGTTGCAGTGGAGTCCATTCTGACTTATGGCAACCCATGTGCATCAGAACAGAACTGTGCTCCACAGGTTTTTTAATGGCTCATTTTCTGGGAAGTAGACTGCCAGGCCTTTCTTCCAAGGTGCCTGTGGTTGAATGCAAATCTCCAACTTTTCTATTAGCAGCTAAGCATGTTAACCACTTGTATCACCAAAATTATAAATACTGACGAAATTACAGATAACTAAAAAGAAATTATTTTGTGATAGTGTGGCCCTTCTAAACCTGTTAGAAAAAGCCATAAAAGGAAAGATGGGTAAATCTGACATAACATTTGAAAACTCCTATACAGAAAGACAACATAAACAAAATTAAAAAGAAACTGGAAAAATAACTTTGTGCAACTCATGATAAAGGACCCACAATCTTTTTATATAAAAAGCTCTTTCAAAGGAAAAGATCAGATACCAATAGGGGAAATGGGCAAAGGATATGAATAGTATTAGAAAAAGAGGAAATACAACTGGAAAATAAAATATTTAAGCACCCTAGTTATCAACAAAATATAAATGTGAATCTTTCAAAATAATGATATATTTTATAGCCTATTACCAAAAAAACCCTAAATTCACTGCTGTGGAGTTGATTCAACTCATAGCGACCACTCCTTGGGTTTCTGAGGCGGTATCTCTACAGAAGTAGATTGCCCAATCGCCCTTCTGAGGAGTGGCTGCTGGGTTTGAACCACCAGCCTCTGGTTAGCAGTCAAATGCCTTAGGCACTACAACACCAGAGCTCCCAGAGCTTTACAGACTATTAGGATCACAAAGAATGAAAACACTGATAGTAGCCAGCATTGGTGTGTGTGGGATGGAAACTTTTACTGATTGTGGCATTAAATTGCTGTAACCTTTCTGAATGGCAATTTGCCAAAAGCCTTGTGAAATATACAAACCTGTTTGACCCAGTAATTTCGTAGTAATTTTCCCTAAAGAAATTATTGGACAAGTATGCAAAGACATATACAGTAAACTAGAAACAAATCAACTGTGTATTAATAGCAGATTTGGTTAATTAGTTAAAAATTATAATAATGCTATGGAATCATTAAAAATAATTAGTTATCTGTATTTACTAGCAAGGAAAATCACCGAGATTATAGTTTCTAGAAGGTTCCCAGTGTGTAAGGTATGATAAAATTTTTATATTAAAGAATACACACATACACACACACACACACATACAAAATCTATCTATTGTAGTGGAAGAGAGGGAGAGAGACATACATTGAAAAGTCTGGAAGGTTAAAAATTAAATGTTATTTCTGCACACTGAGATTATAGGTGACCTTAATTTTTTTTTTAAATTTTTACTGCGATTTGGGTGAAAATTTACAGAGAAAATTCACTTTCTATATAGCAGTTCACAGGTACTCTGTCTCATGACATTGACTACAATTTACCACAATGCAACAGCTCCCCTCCTACTTCCTCCCCGTAGTTCCTCTTCCCTGTGTCCTTCCCTCCATGCACTCCTGCCCCCTGAGCTGTCTTCCTGTGCATACATAGCCCTTCTATTCTCCCATGATTGATCTCTCCAAGGGCTGTTATCTACCTAGTGTAAATGTTCAGCTCATATGCCTGTCTTTGTTTGAGTGGAAGCCACAGGAGTGCATTTAATTCCAGAACTAAAGGGCACCTAGGGGCCACAGTCTCAGTGGTTCCATCAGGCTCTGTCAGACCAGCAAACTGGTCCTTTTTTTAAAAATGAGTTTTGTTCTACATTGTTCTCCCACTCTATCCAGGATCTCCTACAGAGATTCCCCTCCGAGTGCTTGACAGTGGTAGCCAGGCACCATCTAGTTCTTCTGGTGTCACAGTCGTTTAGGCTGAGGACTGCATGGTGTACCACTCACTTGGACTAATTGTTTCCATGTGTCTTTGGTTTTCTTCATTCTTCTTTGCTCTGGATGAAGACAGACCCATCGTTGCATCTAGATGGTTGCTTGCACGCTTTTAAGATCCCACTTGCTACTCACTAAAATAAGATGTGGAACAATGTTTTTGTGTTGTATGTTATGCCAATTGAGCTTGACGTCCCCTGCGACTATGGTTCCGAGCCCACAGGTCCAACTACTTGCTCCCTCTGGGTAGCTGGCTGTGGCCAAGAAGTGACTACAACTTTGTACCTTGTCATCTCTACTATATACCTGGGAATTCTTACAGAACATACAAAAACACCTGTAGAAACATTGTTTGCCAACCCTATACACGGTCTTGGGCACACTTCCCCTGCATGGACATAACCTAATAGTTCAGCCTGTCCACATATCTATCCGCCTGTAGATCGATGTTTTGCTTTCACTGACAACGCAGTACTGTATGTGCAAAAGGGTTCACCTTTGCTGTCTGTACCTCCCACGTACTTGTCTTCCTCTTCCTCAGTGTCACTGTGTTGATTACTCACATTTGGTATATTACCCTTCTCTTCATCCAAATCACTACTTGTCTCTACCTACCTAATAGTGTTCCCTTCCCTCTACTCCCCTCCTACCCCTGGTAATGAATAAACAAAATTTCCTTCCATATATAAACCTTTCCTTGACTTTTTACAATAACTGACTAATACAATATTAGTCCTTCTGTGATTGACTTATTTCACTCAGCATAATGTCCTCCAAGTTCATCCATGTTATG